GACGAATATGTTACTATTTCTTAAACCTTTGGCCCCTGCCCCCCTCCCCCTTGATTAAGTACGGTACATGCATTTTCACACAGCGCTCGTTATACCGGACACTCGGGTTCAAAAGGTTAAAAAGGAATTTAGGTATTTCAGTTCTTACGTTCATATTTGTCTATATTATATTTTCATTTCCCTATTTTCTTATTCCACATTCTTGCTATGGATTAAATAGCAGGGTAGGCTGAGTTCTCATGGCAGTCTTTTTGGAGACAAAATTTCAATTCGAACCAGTGCAATGAAGCTTGATATAAATATTTCTTACATCGAAACCTGATCTTACCATTCCCTGTAACTGATCTCCCACCAGTAGCTGGATCCTGGAGAGCGATATTGAGAAGGTGGGTCTAGGTCTGTCCAAACCCATTATTCACCTGAATAACCGCTCCATGAAATTGGCCATCAACATCCCTTGGGATGAATAGAGATGTGTATAATCTTTAGGGAACGATATTTAATGTGCCGGTCTAGATTTTTCTTTCGTTGACCATGTCTCGGAACATCTCGTCTAGTTCTTATGGCTCAGTTATTGGTCACCCCGTTTAAACTGTACCCAAAGAGATTGAATTCACGATTACTATGTCACCAAATTCACGAACCAACGTTTTAATCCATTAGACTGTTGTCCCGTGGGACAATTATGAGTGGATAACTTGGAGACTTAAACCCAACCTGCTTGCTGATGAGGACTCTTGCTGCAGGTTGGGTTTAAGGCTGCGGGACGAGAACAAACTTCCTCCGTAAATTAAATAAATGGTTTAATTCAAAGTTTCAAAGAGCGCACAACGGTCGAAAGGTTGTTATAACAACAACAAAGATGGGGATAATTGTCATCGTATAGATAATGTAAATAACTTCTCATCCGTAAGATAGTAAGCAGATCATTTTTCCTTTATGCGTCGTATCCCTTCAAGTGGAAGGAGATTGTAGCTCTCCTGAACTTCCTACTCGTTGTACATCTAAGCAATCTTTTTCTCTTTACTATCCTTCCCAGTCTTGTCATCAATTCACACAAGCGAGGCGACTGTATTAATAACAAAACGTAGTTTATTTCTGTGAGCTGTTCTCAGAAAATGATTTGAATATACACTCCAGATATATCTCTGTTGGTGTTCTTTAAAAATGAAAACAAAAAAAGAAAAAAAAAAAACGAAAAGTAAAAAAACTCTTTAGATTGCAATGTTTTTGTCTTCAGGTCGGATATATATTTCACTTTTAATAAGTCGTCCCGCCCAAAATATAGATGTTGTTTGTTATCCAATACCTCAACACCATGTTACGCCCCCTGGTGTTAGTTCCATCAAGCAGCCGTTACATGAAATCAGACCAAAGTATGTGTCTCATTAAATGGTCAAAGGTAAATCAACAGGTGTTTATGTCAAAACAGTCAATATTGGCAATGCCCTTGGGATTATTGCTTGGTCCTCATTTCAGCGAATATTGGGGTGTGGCACGTGTCAGCTAAGCGAACGGAAACACCCTTCTTCATGAATTCCCTTGTGGGGGAGAAAAAAAACAAAGCAGAAAAGTTATTTATATTTATATATGATTTAAGTTGATTTTCTCAGTGAAAGAAAGAATTTATGGAATTCATAATTTATGATATACGAAAAGAACCTTAAGATGGGTGAGGGGATGTACAGCTCTCGAGTTTCTGTTATCGTTTCGTCGATGTTGTCAGAGGTGAAATTCAGTCTGAAAGAGCCACCAGATACAGGAGAAAAATGTTGACTTTCTTAGCAAATAAAGTGCATTATTATTCGGCATTGTGTAAATTAATCGTTGGTGGATGAAAGACATGAACCATTATTCTTGTGTGCATCAATGTGTGTGTGTCTGAGAGTGGAAAGTAATGAAAAAGGAAATAACACTTTCCCTTATATATATATATATATATATATATATATATATATGTAAGTAAATAGACTAACCTACCTAGGTAGATTAGTCTGGCTCTTTAGGTTTATTTACTTATTTTGTTCTACTTAGCGTATTGAGCACTTTGTTTAGTTATTTTACTTTACTCGTGTCGGAGGTTTTTTCTCTGGACTCTGAACTTAGATTTTAGACGATTATTTTCGCCGGAAGTACATATTCTTAGTTCTTTCTTTTATTTTACCCTTTTTTTTCCCTTGGGTATTAGTTTGTTCATTCACAAGTTAAAACACCCTAAGTTTTTGCCGGACGAGTATAGCTGCTTTCATTTATAAGTTTATTAGTGTTTTATATATATATATATATATATATATATATATATATATATATATATATATATATATATATATGTGTGTGTGTGTGTGTGTGTGTGTGTATTTGATGCAATTATTTTGATTATTAACTACACGGTTAACAGTTTTACATTTTCCGTAATATATTATAAATTTTACACGTTTTTCGGGAATTACCGGGTGCGATGAGTAAAATGAAGCCATTTCATACTTTTAATTTAGCGCATGCGCCTTGTTTGTTTTGGGGTATACTAGGGTCAATTGGGCACTTCCCCCCCCCAAAAAAAAGCAAAAAAAGCACCATGACGCAATTTTCTGGAAACGATATGCTGTCTGCTTGACATTAGCGTCGGAAGCTTCAATACGAACATTTCAGAGTGTTTGGGTGTCAATCTGAGGACAGTGCAGAGAATTTGGAAAGAGTTGGAGGAGTCTAATGGTGATTACGAAGATGCTTGGCGTGATCACTAGTGATGGGGACGTTATGCCTCCATTCAACTTCCAACAGGGACTCAGACTCAGCACGGATGCCTAAATCAAGTGTCTTGGGGAGGTAGTACTGCCCTGGGTCAAGAGGGTGGCTACTGGAAGACCCTATGCCTTGCAACAGGACTATGCACCATGCAGCACAAGCAGGAGAACCTAGTTATAGCTGTCAAACAAATTTTCGACCACATTACCCCTTATATCTGGCCACCTAACACCCCGAAAAGCAAGCACCTTGATTGTTATGTGTCGGGCGAAGTTGAGCAAGAGACCAACAAAACTCCTTGTAACACCAAAGATAAACTAAAGGCAAGAAATATGGTTAAACAGGGAAACCGCCCAGAAGAGTTGCAGAAGATTCCAAAGTCGTCTGGAGGCCTGGTTGAAACCAATAGCGATTTTATTGAATGAATTTACTCTTTAGTATTTCAAGATTTTTTTGTGTAATTTTGGTAAATATATCTATTAAAATGAGATGTCGGTGTTATTTTCATTTTTGCGTAATTTAGACGACAATTTATTCATCGCACCCCGTACAGCAGAAATGAGGCGCTTAAATATTCTTCGTATAGAAAATTCGTCCTGCTTATAATTATTGTTCATCTAGTTACCGTAAAATATATTGATGTTTTGTTTTGTTGTATTTTTTTTTTTTTACTGGTGTCGTATATTTTTTGCAAGAATAATTTTATTTGGTTACCAGTGATGTAGTTGGTGAAATGATTGTTGACTAATGTTTGTTTTATGTGTTTTAGTTCACACAGAAATATTCTTTGGGAAGAGGAATTTATGCACGATAATTATAAGCAGGACGAATTCGCTATGCGAAGAATCATTAAACACCATTACTCTGTTGTAATTGCATAAAAACGTGCAAAATTTTTTAATATATTACAGAAAATGGAAAACTGCAAAATAACCACATCAAATCTAAACTGGCGATGACCAATATAGTGAATCAATTTCATTGCCCAGTACAAGACTGTGTTTCTTGTCATAAATCAGTTACCTATATCGGGCATACAACCACCTCCTTCAGTAGACGCCTCACATGTCACTTATCAGAGCAAAGCGATATATATATATATATATATATATATATATATATATATATATATATATATAGTATGAAATGGACAAAGGATACAGGTTCGATTCCTGTCGGAGGACGAATATTTTCTATGAAAATTTCTCGAACATTCAGGCCGATAAATGTTATTAATACTGTTTATTATAAAACAGAGCATTTACTTAAATATTTGTACCTATAAAAAAGAATGTATAAACATAAAAATGTCTATAAATATATATACATGAGGGTAAGTAAAAAAAATTATCCACATTTTTGACATAACATACCTGTGTTATGAGTGCGGATATTTTTTTACATTCCTTCGTATATATATATATATATATATATATATATATATATATATATATATATATGACCATGGAATATTAGTGTTTAAGCCTTTTTATTATATCCTTACTCTGTCCTAGACATTGAGTTCTACCTGGATTCTTCCTCTTGGAAATTTTTTTTCTGAAAATATACATGTATGGGTATTTTTTTATATATATTTTGCATATGTATGTATATTTTTCCACTAATATTATCAATCTCTCTCTCTCTCTCTCTCTCTCTATATATATATATATATATATATATATATATATATATATATATATATTTATATATATATATATATATATATATATATATTAGAAAACAAACAAATACGCGACAAGAAGAGTGTTCGATATAAAAATTAATATCTGCAAACAGAGCCAATATATTAAATATAAGAAAATATACTAACGCAAATACGTGTATTCATGAAATGGCAATAAGTCTTATGTCAACAGTTTTTTTCTTGCACTTCTCTCCGGCTTGTTTCTTTCCAGTCAGCTTTGAGTTTCAAAAATTTTAATACACTGTCATAATGGCTTTGTTACCTTGTTTGGTGTGAAATGATTAAACACACACACACACACACACACACACACACACACACACACACACATATATATATATATATATATGCGTGTGTATTAAATCAAGAATAAACATACACAAACGCACGGACACACACATATCTATCTATCTATCTATCTATCTATCTGGGCACCTTGACGTGGTGTAATGGTTAGAAATCTTGTCTTGCTAGATCATTTACGACTGGGTAGTGAGTTCGATCCTCACTGGGTGCCCCATACTTTCGGCCTTGTGCCACATCTAAGCTGGGCTTAGAAAATATCTATCTGTCTATCTATCTATCTATCTATCTATCTATCTATCTATCTATCTATCACCAAAAAGTTATTAAAAATATCACGCTCCTTTAAAAATACGGATTTTAAACAAAAAAATGTCCCTGTAACACATGGAACGAGACAATTTCGAAAAAGACTTGACTAATTTTGGAAGAAATATAAAACTTAAAAAACAATTAGAAGCTTTCCAGAAAAAAAAATCTAAAAGGAGTTATAACTAAAATAAACAATTCACCTAACGTATTTATCGCAGCGGACAAAACTAGAAATTTATATGAACTAATCCCCCCACAAAACACAACAAACTACTCAAGGACAGCATAAAAAAAAATGCAGAAAAGCACCAAAAAGTACAGCATGCGATATTAACGTGGAAGCTAAAAAAATCGTCCAAACATTAAACCTAAACGACCGAATAAATAATCGCTAAATCTCTAGCATTTATCACACTAAAAGACCACAATGGAAGTTTTAGAACAAACTCAACATGAAGACTCATAAGCTCAATCAAAAGTGAAATAGGTAAAATAAGTAAAATAATACCAGAAAGAATTAACTCAGAACTAAGGAAGACGTTCGGAGCAAATCAGTGGAAAAGCACAAAAAACATTATAGACTGATTTCACAACATAAAATACAAACATAATTGCTAATTTATACAATTATATATAAAAAGATTTTTACCCTTCTATAACAGTACCCATAATGCAATCTCCTTGGCTCATGAACAAATAAAAGTAAATACAAACGATGTAAAAATCATTAAACACTTCCGAGAATCACTATTATTCGACAATGAAGACGCGCGGATAAAGAAAGAAGGAACATTTGATATTACATTGGGGAGCTTTGATGGTGCTAACCGTGCGCTTATAGGTATAAATTTACTACACGAACTAAGTAAAATAATCGATAAAATTATATAGGCCTCTACAGGGACGAAGGCCTCATAATCTTAAGAAACTGTAACAGACAAAAAAGAAACAAAAGCAGAAAAATATTCACAAAGATTCTCAGAAATATGGGATTCGACATAGACATAAAAACTAACGTATAAGAAGTAAATTTCCCAGATGTCACATTCAACCTAAATAAAGGTACATATCAACCATACAGAAAACCAAACGACAATATTATATATTTTATACGCAGATCTTCCACCCACCCGACATCAATAATCCATCAGATCCCGCAATCAATTAGCCGCAGGTTACCTGAAAATTCTTCCAGTGAAATTATCTTCAACGAAACCAAGGAAGTTTATGAAACAGGCCTAAAGATTTTCGGCAACACTTGCATACACATCACACAGCACAAAAGGCCAACGGGAAAATTATGTCATATAAAAGAATTACAAGCGTTGATTAATAAGTAAAACGTATAGTTGAGCCAGACACATGTTTGAACATGTCATTGCCAGTGCTTTTATAAACTCCTTTTCAAGCAGGCTCAGTGCCATTTCGCCTGGTGACAGCATTGAAAGATAGCATTTACTAATCAAGAGTACTAAATTTGAATTATGTATAAAGCAGCGATCAAGGAGTCCTTCTTACGGTATTTCTGTCAAAAGTTATTACTGTTAATTCCGTTAGCTATTTTGAAATATTGCAAGCACTCAACGCATCCATTGAATAAGGCCTGAAAGAAGGCGATTCTTTTTAATATCATGACAACGCATGGTTTGTAAAAAATTCTGTTTTTGCAGACATTCCGTACAACCATTATTTAGCTCCATCAGACTTTTGTTTTTTCCTGAATTTAAAATAAACCTTACCCAATATTTTCAAACAAGTTTAAATTATTGCGAGCAATTAGATCAAAATCAAACCAGAATCTTTTATCGACGAAATGAGAAGCTGGATAGAACGTCCAGCAAAAAAGAACCAAATACTCGTATATATTAAAAAAAATAAAGTTTAATTTTGATATCTGTTTTCATTTTCTATCTGGTCTCAAACTTGTTTTTTTTTTTTAAAGATTTCAAGACCTTACTTACCAAATGCTCATAATTTGAAGAAACGTAAATTTTACTCACTTTAATACTAGTTTCATTTTTATATCTAGTCTAAAACTGCCTTGTATACGATATACATATCAATCAAACCTTGTAATTTTAAAGAAACTTCATTTTGATAATACTTTTATTATTCTGTCTTGTGTAAAACTTGTTTTATATGATTGGAAACATTACTTATCCATTAACCCGCATTTCATTATTCGATCTAGTCAGAAAAAAACAAAACAAAAAATACAAAAAAAAAAGACCTTACTTATCAACAATTTTTTATATACATGATTGTGGTAGATCTCACTACACGATAATTGTTTTCAGTGTAACGAATTTGATCGTAACTTTGTGCTTTATACTTGTTATCATGTGTCAAGCAAAACTGTGCATATCATCTCTGTGTTTGTGTGTGTGTATATATAGGCATACAAAGCCGCCCATCTTAATTTAAATTATTTATAAATATCGTGTCCGTATGCTCTTTACATGTCATTTTATTCGTAAGCTATTTGTCTTCATGGAACAAGAGAAGAAATCATTATTTACTTTACCTAATCTCTTTACTTCCTTAGTACTTCTTTTTCTTTTTTCCAGTTATTTGCTATTTTATTGTCTAACTTCTGCTCTTCTATCTCTTTCTCCTTTCTTTTCCCGTCTTCCTTTTTTATTCTTTGTTTCTTTTATGTTTCTTTTTAAAAGACTTTTTTTGTCCCGGTACGCTTTCCTCTTTTTCTTAATGTTTTTAAATGTTTAACATAATTCGGCACAAGATGAAATTGGATGTGAAATGAAGATATAAAGACTGCGTTAGGCCAACATTCCAGATATCGTGGCGATCGTGGCTAGACTGCTTACCTAGAAAATCAGCGTTTCAAAGCCTGGCTTTTTAGCCAGGCTTGAACGCTAATCTTCGGCACAAGCGGGATATATGCACCTATAACAACCACTCTACTTTCTTTTTTTTTCTTTCTTTCTTTCTTTCTTTCTTTCTTTCTTTCTTTCTTTCTTTCGTTCGTTCGTTCTTTCTTTCGTTCTTTCTTTCTTTCATTTGTCTTTTGACTTCTTTTTCATTCTTCCTATTTTCTTTCTGTCGTTTGTATTTTTCTTTTTCGTACGTTTTTCTTTATTTTTTTTTTTCTTTCATTTGTCTTTTGACTTCTTTTTCAATCTTCCTTTCTTTATTTCTGCCGTTTGTATTTTCCTTTTTCGTACGAACTTTTTTTCTTTCTATCTTTTTTTTCTTTCATATGTCTAGTTCTTTTTCATTACTCATTTTTTTCTTTCTGTCGTTTGTATTTTTCTTTTACGTACGTTCTTTCTTTCTTTCTTTCTTTTGTTTCTATTTTATTAGTCTCTTTATTTCTCTTTCCTTTTTTCTATCTTTTTCATTTTTTCTTTCCTTTATTTACTTACGTCGTTCTTTTTTTATTTCATTGTTTACAATTTTCACCCTTTTTCCTCCATTTCTTTTGCATTTACCGATTTTCTTATTACCTCCCTTTTTTGCTTTTTTCTCTCTTCGTTTCTTTACTTCCCTATTTATTCTCCCTTTTCTCTTCATTTTCTCCTCTGTATATTCTCTCTTTCTATCCTCTCTTCTTGTCTTCATGCTTTACGTAGGCAACCCAGAATCCAAGTCACCAACTTTCACCTTACCTACCCTATCTTTTTATAATAAATTGCTCTCTCAAGACAAGAAGAATGAATGGTCTATAATTTATTTTCCATTTCCCTCAACCACTTCTTCATTTCTAAACATTTCTCTTTCTTTTCACGTCATTACCAACCGCAGAATTTCGTTTAAAACTTACAATTTACTTTTTTCCCCGTTGGGTTATTATAGATTCACCAGTGTCTTATTTTTATCTTTTACTTGCGTTTTTCTTATTCTTTCTTTAAATTTCTATCATTCGTTATATGTCCTTTTTCTACTCTTTTTAATGACTTTTTTCTTCTTAGCTTATTACCTCTGCTTTTGGTTTCTTCCTTTCTTCTTTCTTTTCCTTTCTTTCTTTCTTTCTTTCTTTCTTTAGATTCACACCTTTTCAGTTTTTCTTTTTCGCCTCTTACGTTTTCTTTACATCTCTTTTTCTTTCTTTCTTTCTTTCTTTCTTTCTTTCTTTCTTTCTTTTGTCACCTAAATATCTGATTTTCTTTTCTTTTGTTCGTTTGTCTTTTTTTTATTCCTTTCACTCTTTCCATCTTTGTCTTTTTCACTGTTCTTCAGTTTTTCCTTTTGCCATATTGTCTTTTCTTTCTTTCTTTCTTTCTTTCTTTCTTTCTTTCTTTCTTTCTTTCTTTCTTTCTAATTTCGACTTTTCCTGACAGTTCCCGTATCCGCCATTTATGCATTCTTTCTTTTAGTTTCTTACTGTTTTTATCTCCAAGTTAATTATCGTTTTTTGATATTAATCGTATTTTCTTCGTCATTTTTATTCCCATTTCATTTATTCTTTTCGCCTGTGTTTTATCGTAAATCATTTGGACTTTTCCTTCATAAATAAAAGAATGTGAGTTCCCAAACCGAAGAATATCAGCCCCCCTTTAAATTTCAAAATGTAACGGCCGGTACCAACAAACAGAATTAGACTTTCTCTCCAGTTGTCTTACTTTACTGCTAAGAAGAGATTTCCGATGATAGATAGGTAATAAAGCATTCTCAGTCACTTGTTTTTGTTTTTATTGTTGCGTGATCTACAGACGACTAAGAATTTAAAGACGGTCAAGTTAGGATTATCTTTGAAGCAGACAATACATTAAAATTCTTTCTTGCTTTCTTTCTTTCTTTCTTTCTTTCTTTCTTTCTTTCTTTGTCTCATTTATTTGAACATTATTTCCTTTTCCGTTTCTTTTTGTCTTCTTTTTCTTTTTGTCTCTTTTCATCTTTTTTTTTTTAATTCCGTTCACTTTTTTCTTTCTTTTCCTTAAGATCTGACCTTTCTTTCTTTCTTTCTTTCTT